CAAGGGTCCGAATCCTAAAATATAGATTTGGCTCTTGGGTAAGTGCAAGTATACAAGCAGCTTTCCACCCTATACCCTTGGAGGCATAACCTGCGATTTACCTCCCTCACAATGCTCTAGGGCAGGGACGGTGAGGGACCCTTAAGGTTGGGGTTCAACCTTTGAAAAGGTCAGATTGTCCTTGTCATTAAAGAGATATTTAATGAAAACAATGTTTTGTTTGAATGGAAGAAATTACTCAAAACCTTAATGGTGATATTGACATTTTGTGAAGGACTCCAAAACCAAACAAATCAATGCATAATAGTTTCAAAAATTTCAAATAAATATGTCCATGTTGTATTTAACATTTACAAAATAAAAAGTTATAAGAGTAAAATACAAATAATTTGTAATTGCTAATCTCCCAAAATTGATGAAGAATGCAGCAGAAATGTCTTTTTGATCAATGAAAATGAAGAAGATAAAAAAAAGTTAGGATTTGAAGTTTATGTTTCATTTTTAAATTTCTTTTATACTTTTTTATTAACAAAAATTCATATTAATCAATAAAATACACATTTATCTATGTTTTGTATATAGAAATTAAATCATTACACCAAATCAATGCTTTTCCTTCAAATCAAGTATTAAATGCTACTAAAAATGTGCCATTAAGGGTAATTTGGACTTTTCACCCTAAAAGTGACATTTTTGCTCACGTAAAGTAAAAATGACAAATTTTTTAGAACTTTCATTTTTTGTGATATTTTTGTAAATTTCCCTTTAATTTTTTTGGTCATTCCAATTATTTGACAGAAATGCACAAATTTACGGGAAGAAGGCTATTGGTGGAAGGAAAAAGCCTATTGAATAGGCTCAGCGACAGGAGCCTGTTCCAGGGCTGAAATGTCAACCCCTAATTGGCAGTGTTTCGTTTTATTTTATTTAACTTCTAACGAGAATTCGTCAACTCTCCTTTAAAAATTTATCATTGAGTTTGTTTCTGAAGCAAGACCGTGGAAGAAATAGTGGAAGAGAATTTGAGAATATTCATAGGCTGAGAATTCCACCATTGAAAAAAGAAATATTATAAATCCTATGAATCTTTTAAACGTGACAACTTTTGGAATTTTATTGGTATATTTTGTTTTTTTTTTTTTATTTTATAGTAAAAAGAAAGTAGCTTTTAGAATTTTTTTTCAGTTACTTTTCTTAACCACTCTCTTTCTCCATTGGTTATCGCGTCATCCTTTTTATGAGATTTAAAGAAGCATTTGTTCAAGTAAAGGGCGCGATTTCAATACGTAGAACATGTCGAAAGAGGAAGAATACAACAAAACTTAGTTTATTGTAATTACTACGGCTATGGTTGCTATGAATCATCGATTAAATCGAATAAGGCATACAACACAGTGGTAAAGAAATATTCATATAATCAATCTTAAATTTAGTCAGAACAAGAATTAATATGTTATATTAGTTTCTGGTGTAATCTAGTTCATCTCAATCAAAATCTACATCGAATCTCTTACAAGTTAATGATTGTAAAAGTGATCGTAAAACTTGATAAATTATTACTAAATGAGTGAATTTCTACCTAATGTAGTGAAAAAGTGATAATTGTATGTAAAATCCGGACTTGGATGCATTTGGAGCTAAAAAGAATGATTTAGAGTTTAATTGGAGTTGATTTAGAGCAATTAAAAGCTAATCGAATTGCATGTAAGTATTAGAAGAAGGACAATGATACACGTATCAAAATTTTTACCTACTACTTACAACAGGAGTGGAGACCACAGGTCGTCATTTTCAAATTCACGAGGAAACCGCCATACATTGTGAGGGGGAACACCATTCGATAATCCCCATCGGTACAAATATATTTATCCTTAGAAGAATAATTAGAAGGAACATGTCTTTTTTCTGTTCCTATTCCTAGTCTTTTCGATTCTTGACATCGATTTGTATGTTTATTTATTTATTTTTTTGTATCTATTTGATTCATTAATCTGACAATGGTTTAACGAAAAGGAAATTGTGGGAAATATCCAAATTTAACACGCCATTTTTTCAAATGGCAGAAAATGGAAAGGTTTGTATCTATGGCTACTTTTTTAAAATGGACTTATATGCCCCTAAAACTTGATGGAAATTACAATAGCCTTTATTGTACACGATGACTAAAAAAATCCTTGCTTTATGATGGTGATATGGTGTGGTGTTTCCATCCCTAATATTCAAAGTGCAAATGTGTCTGTTTCTTTATTTACTTTTCCATTGTTCTCGCTTAGCTTGAGGTCTGAATTATTCTTAATTTATGACAAATCAAATCCTGATTACTACTTTAACTACTTCATTTCACATCAATTATATGCCAACAAACTTGGTGGCAAGAATCAAATCCCCTGTTAATATGCTAGGCACGCCAAACATTTGGATTTGTGTACTTGTACCGTTCCTTGATCTCCTATACACACACACACATATATTTGTAGGCGCTCATTAACGCAATTGTCCTACATGATTTACATGTGACAGTTAGTGATTTGTTGTATGAGGTAACAAAAAATTACCACATTAATGTATCAAATTACTAAACGTCACATGTATACAACATAGGACGATTACGACAGTGAACAACTGTAAATAGCATTACTTTTATTAAATATCGAAAATTGATAAGAATTTAATCTCATTATATATAACAATGTGAAAAATTAGACCTCGTTAAATTTAACACGAGTGGTAGGTTCACGGTCGACCCAATCTATTCACCCCAAAACTGTTTAGTTCATCCAAAAATTCGGTCAAGTTATTCTCAAAATTTTGTTTAGTCATTGATTTTGTTAATATTGCTATGAGGTTTTAACTTTCTTCAAATCAAGGTCTAGAGTGGTTTTTTAAATGTTAATAAAAGTTCATATTATGAGTTAATAAAAGTTCATGTTAATATAAGTTTGTTTGAGTCACATTATTTTCCTTAGAATGCATTTTTGAATAATGTATTGATGGAAAATGTGTAGTTAAAAAATAAAGAAAAATTTTGAATTTACGGGTAATATTATTTTATTGAAAAATGTGTGGTTGAAATGATATTAAATATTATTTAAGAATGTTTTTTTTTTTAAATGTGGCTCAAACATGACCTATCCTTCTCTTTTATTTGAACTTGAGATCATTCTAAAAACACAAACAATAAATCCAATGGATTGCATCCATTTTATGTCGTGGCAAGAAAAAAACACACGAGAATTCTTATAATTTTTAATACTAAATCTGACGTAATTAGACGTTAAAAATAGATTAGTGTTGACACGACAATGACTTCTCCTTATGAGTGGATTCTGTACCCTCTTTTATGCCCACAATACTAAATATTTTATACGAATCAAATAAATGTTCATTATAAACATTTATCTAATCACATATCAACGATTACAAGACATCCATACTATTGAGACGAGTCACATGCCACATAAAATAGGTTACAACATACTTTCATCGTTTCGTTAACATGTTTCAATAGTTAGCCATAATTTTCAAGATAGTTCAATTTTCCATAAAGTCAACCAACTGTCCTTGATAATGTGACCAAAGTTTTGCAATTTAAAAAAAAAAAAAAAGGTTGTTATTTCTCAAAAATAAACTTAATGTTACCTAAAAATCAAACTTTAGTTGTCATCTAAAATCATGACTTTCCAAGAACAAGGCCTAGCGTTCATTGGATGTTGTTTTCCCCAATAACGCGTTTAGGAAAAAGTTGAAAACCACCAAAGCACAAAGGATTTTGATGGGTGGTATTTCAAACAAAAGCTAACAACATTTGTCAATTCTATCCACATGCTTAACGACCTGCAATTTCTTCTAGGAAGTTTATTGTGTTTCAAAACATAAAAATAAAAAAATTAAGGAAATGATTTAAAGCTTGTCTAATCTTGAAGGATCATCTCCTCCTCCTCTTCTTTTTATTATTATTATTATTATTTTATTTTTTTTATGACGGAGGAATCTACGACCGCTATCTTTCGGATAATAGGTGTAGTTTATGCTGTCATCTGTCAACAAGGATAGGAATGGTGAAAATTAACATATTTTATCTATATGCTTAAGAACTTGTACAGATTCTTCTAGTAGGACCAGATGTTTCAAACAAAAGTAGAGAATATTGTTTTAGCCCTATGATTTTAATTTAAGTCAAAGTCAATAATTAATTTTAAATACATATTTTATGGGTCATATAATTTTTCAATCATACATTTCATCAACTTTTATCAAAACTTATTAAAAATCTGATTTTAATTCCTATCAAATAGGGTCTTAAACTTGTCAAATCATCTCTTTCTTGATCAAGTCATTTAATAGTAATTTGTTTAGTTGATAGTGCATGGAAATGGATATAAATTAAAAAGGGTGAAATGAATTTGAAGTCATCCAAACAATAATATAACATATTCTACTCCAACGTTAGATACAATCTACAATTTTTGCTAGGTGGGCCATAAAAAATGAGGCAGTCATGGACAATTTTGTACAAGTCACGTAGCTCAATAGTTATCTTTTTGACAATTAAATTGTTACGTTTGAAATTTAAATTAAACTACTTTGACCTAACAAAATAATTACGGAGTTAAAAATTGATGATGAAAGTCTATTTGATACATTAATAATATCGAATGCATAACTATACTAAAACATTATGTATGAACTAAATGAAGGTTATTAATCCACTAAAAATTCGAACACAAGTTTAATAATTTTTAGAATTTAAAAATTTTTCCTAATCGAAAATATGATAAATAAGTGAAAAAAATTATAGTAAAATAAATTATAATTATTTCAAGTTTGATGCTACGAACTTCCATCAACTTGACAACCTGTCTCGGAATAAAACCTTTTGAAAACATATTTAACGGCCAAAACCAGGTTCAAAATTCAACCATCCCAGCAAATGAAACCTGGGAAAGCCTCCTGTTTTCATAAACAAATTAAATAATTTAATCTCACGATTTCATTTTCTAAATATTCTATTTACATTCTCGAATTCCAGTACTATAAATACCTCCCACAAGTTTTCTATCTCATATCAAATAATTCAGATTTACGCAGTTTACAGTGATCAAGAAACAAAATACAAGATGTCAAGCACTGTTGGGCAAGTCATAAAGTGCAAAGGTAATTAGTTTTTTTTTAATTTTTAAAATAAATTTAATTTCTTAAAATTAAGTCGGATGATTATGAAAATTTTGGACTAATTTGTTGATTTTTTTCTTGTGAATGAAGCTGCGGTGGCGTGGGAAGCAGGGAAGCCACTAGTGATTGAGGAAGTGGAGGTGGCGCCGCCGCAGAAAATGGAGGTTCGTTTGAAGATCCTCTTCACTTCACTCTGCCACACTGATCTCTACTTTTGGGAAGCCAAGGTAACTAAGTTTTACTTATCATTCCTATATATTTTTTTGCTGATCTTTGAAGAATTACAGTAGAAAGGTATAGATTGAAGAATTAACCCGTAACCTTTTCTTAAATTGTAGGCCCAAGATTCTGTTTTTCCTCGAATCCTTGGACATGAAGCTTCAGGGTATGTATTATATAGGTTTCAAGATTCTTAATCTATGATAATTATTATTTTCCCTTTTTTTTTTGGCCTAAATTGATAGAATTATTGAATTTAATTTTGTGGGTTTTTAGGATTGTGGAGAGTGTTGGAGAGGGAGTGACTGAATTGGAGCCGGGCGATCACGTTCTTCCGGTATTCACCGGAGAATGCAAAGAATGTGCTCATTGCAAATCAGAAGAAAGCAATATGTGCAGCCTCCTTAGGATCAACACTGATAGGAGAGTGATGATTAACGATGGGAAAACTCGATTTTCCATTAATGGAAAACCGATTTACCACTTCGTTGGGACGTCGACGTTTAGCGAATACACCGTGGTACATGTTGGTTGTGTGGCAAAGATCAACCCTCTTGCTCCTCTTGACAAAGTTTGTGTCCTCAGTTGTGGAATCTCTACCGGTAATAGTTAATGATAACGATTCTTGATATTAAGAGCCTTAGCCCCTGTTATGACATCCTTTAAAATGAGCTTTTGTCCGGGAAAATGAGATTTGAAATAGTGATTTTTTTGAGAATTTGTGGCTAAGAAGTGGGAAAAAGTTTTGGGTTTAAGTGTAAAATATTTTATCACGTGAACGTGTGGTTGAAAATGAGATTTAGAGAAAAAAGGAGTTTTGATTTAATGAATGAATGTCAAGCAGGGACTTAGTTTCTTCTAGGTGCATTGTTTAGTTAAATAGATTTTTGGTGTTGAACTGTTTGGAGCCTAATCATGTTTGCATATCCACTCGACTATGAACTGACCTAATATTCTTACTTATTATGTGCCATTCATTAGATAGCTAGACGTGTTAGGGGAAATTTTGAATTCTTGTTCACTATCATAGTGAAAACTCATTGTAGCATCGACATAGCTTTCACATTGAGCGCGAACGATCCATGCTTTTCTCTTTATCTGACTTTTCATTTAGTATTGCTCTCTAGTTAGAGATTCGTGTTTAAACCGTAACATTTGGTTGCTCGTAAAAATAGGTCTTGGTGCCACATTGAATGTTGCAAAACCGGCCAAGGGATCGTCGGTGGCTATCTTTGGGTTGGGAGCAGTAGGTCTTGGTGTGAGTATCCTAACTCGGCCCACACAGAAATTAATAGATTTGTTTCATCGAATAATTGGTTAATATTATAATTATTGTGATAATTAGGCTGCAGAAGGAGCCCGTTTGGCTGGTGCTTCGAGAGTCATTGGTGTTGATTTGAACCCTAGCAGATTTGAAGAAGGTGAGCTATCAATTCAGCAACATTATCTGTACATACATTGAAATGTAGCTGACCCAAATTTATTGAGAACCAGACTTAGTTCAACGTTGTTTATATGTATGCAGCGAAGAAATTTGGAGTGACTGAATTTGTGAACCCAAAAGACCATAAAAAGCCAGTTCAAGAGGTTATAGCAGAGATGACTGATGGAGGAGTGGATCGGAGTGTGGAGTGTACCGGAAACGTCAGTGCTATGATCTCGGCATTTGAATGTGTTCATGATGTACGTTCTCTAGCTCATTTCAAAGTTTCAAATTTTGCCAGGATACTCTTTTAACAAGCTTAATCTCCTTCCCTCAATAGGCATAAGTAAGATTCTTTTGCCATATCGGTAATGAGAATTTTTTATCCTGCCCATTGAGGGGAGGAGATCACTCTTTAAATATTGACTACGAACATAATATATAAATTTCTGTACAAAAATTACTTTTCGATTAGCGCTAATAAGCTTGAAAACTTATATTTTAGGGATGGGGTGTTGCTGTTCTTGTCGGCGTGCCTCATAAAGATGCAGAGTTTAAGACCCATCCGATGAACCTTTTGAACGAAAGGACTCTCAAGGGCACCTTCTTCGGAAACTATAAACCGCGTTCAGATCTTCCATCAGTCGTAGAAATGTACATGAACAAAGTAAGCTTTAAATTCTTCTATAATCAGAAAAAGAATACTTTTGCGTAAAAAGACGCTCTAAATCTGGATTTTTTTTTTTCGACTCATAAAATTTGTGATATGCAGGAACTCGAACTGGAAAAGTTCATTACTCATGAAGTACCATTTCTCGAGATTAACAAGGCTTTCGAGTTAATGCTGAAAGGTGAAGGCCTTCGTTGCATAATCCGAATGTAGGAGACAAGATTATTAATGAAGTTGCTAAATTCCTATGATGTTCAAGTGCTAAAATGTTGTCTGAGCTCTTACGTTTGATCATTGTCTAGTTTTCTTTCAGTTTTCCACTCAATGTTTCTGTTCCAGTGTGTTCAAAAGAGTCCTTGTATCAATAATCTGGCTGGTGATACTTTGTTAATAAAAGCTGTTCTTTTACATTTAAGTTTTAACAGAGAAGTCTATTTTCTTTGGATAAATATGTATGTACCGAAAATGGGTTACTAAATTGGTGCCCTACTGTCACATGTGTGAGGGTCCCGTGCACATTTAAAAATTCCATGTTGTGGGACTCGCCATGAGTGTAGGTAAAAGATTCGATAAAAATTTGTAGGTAATTGTAGCATTGTTCATTTTCTTTATTTGTATCCAGCTCAACTAACTTGAAACTTACGCCATTTTTCATCAGAATAAAAATCTAAATTTAAATTTTAGTCGAAATCGACTATTAATTTTTACCATGTGATTTTTCAACTACATATTTTATTAACTTTTATTAGAATTTACTAAAAATTTCATCGTCAAACAAGGGTTTAAATTTGTTTGACTTATTAAGTGTTTTTAAAGTGAAAAATCTACACGAACATCAGGTCTGACATTGGGAATGACCGTTTACACACACATGGGGTCGGGCATTATTTTATTCACCCGGGATCCACTCATCCATGTGAGTGTACGGTCATCCTCGTGAGTCGTTTGGCTTTATTCAAAAGTTGGAAGGAGGGGAGAGAAAATCTTGGGGGCGCCTAAAAAATAAAAGGAGCAAATGATTTGTCACGCCCGAACACATTTCTTCATTTTTACTAGATTGGATTTCTTTATAAATTTAAAACTTAAAAAGACTTTGAAAACAAGCCCAAAAAACTGCATTTCAAAAAATATCCAATGGACTCAATGATCTGTTAGGATTGGTGTCCAATAGTATTAGAATATGATATTATATTGATGATTTGAACTTGTCGTTAAGTACATATTTTGTTATTTATATTTCCTTTTAAAAGATTATTGCATTTATGATAAGGAGCAATCAATTAATTTCTTTTCGTCGCTTTGTGATAGTATGGATTATGTGTTTCGATTGCGAAGCTCACATAAATATATTCATGTTTTGGTTGATTTCTAGATCGATGAATATAGGTTGACACTTTGTTCTAATAAGGTCGCAGAGTGAGATACATGACCAACAGGACAAAAGTTTTGTTTGGGGTATTGAAACAAATACACTAAGTACCTCGGAGTTTGCCATGACCATATGTATAAATTAATGGAAATTTTGGTTAAAAAACCTCAGCTTAATGTTAAAACTTCTAAATGCCTATAGTCTAATTCGTTATATATTGTAAGTCCTAATTATTATTTAGTTGAAATGTATAAAATGCCCCCACTGAAAGTCTAAAATCCCCTAAATTCATTCACCATTTTCCCCTCATTCTTCAAAACCCACTGTGAACCCTTCTTTCTTCTTTTTCTTTTTCTTCTTTTTGCATTATCTGTCAAGATTTGATTACATTAAGGGGTTTGTCTTTAAACAATATGTAATGTTACTTTTTATTAGTTTATCTTTAAACTACATATATTACTTTCTGAATATAATAGAAATGTAGTGAAAACGTTGTGTTGTCGTTTAAAATGGACATGAAATTAGTGAAAATGGTACATCTCGTTCCCTCGAGATTTAAATGTCAATTAAAGCTAGACTTGTCATACAATGAGAATATAGACTTTACTTCAGATACAATTTGTTAGTTAGACTCTTCGTCAGGCATAATTGCTTTAATTTCAACCATAATACAGCGGTTGACTTCTCCTTCAAAAAGTTCTAAAAAATATTAATTGGAAGATGAAGATAAATTTGTCATAGAACCTTTCGATTCTTATGTTGTTTCTCCTCCAGATTTCAAGTTGTGGGAATCTTATCAAATTCTAATAATGTATCATTCTAATCCATCTGAACAAGTATTGCTCGCTTTTTTATCTGCCCCAATGAAAATCTTATGTTGTGATTCAAAAGCAGAATATCACACTTCATGGTTGCCATTTCAAAATTAAAATCTCCATATAAATAAAACCTTAAATTTGATATCAGTTGTTATAAAACAACGAAGAAGATACCAGGTTGCTCTTATATCAATTTATTGTAGTAATAAGCAAGGAAAAAATGGGTCACAAAATGAAGTAATTGATCACAGACTCAAGAATAAAATGTTTGTAGAAGAAAGGAGAATTCACTAAAATATGGAGAAAGAATATAATGATTTTATGTTTATAATTTGTCTAACTTAATTTAAAATGTAATGAAGAGCTAAATATATATAGAGGATGTTTCAAGCCCTAAAAATATAGTTATAGATGAAAAAAAATGCTCAAAATGCAAAATAGGCTTGGGCTAGATGAGCCATCACTCTAGAGCCAGGAGGTCCCTAAGTGGGTGGCGGTAGTGACGCTCGAGCGCTAGGCTAGCTCCAAGCAGGCGTTATCCCTCTACACAAAAATTTGAAGGAGTTGTTCGAGCGGTATGCTAGCTGCCAGCTGGTGGAAAAGAACAATTTTTATTTTCCTTAGTTCATATCTTGACCTATTAAAGCCCAACACAAATTTCAAACTTCCAAATAGAAATTCAAGTTGAAATTGTCAAACAGATTTCGATTAAAATTCTAAAATAGCATTTCAAATATAATTATTCTTAAGCAGACTTTAATTAAAATTTTTAATTATCATTTATATAGAATTTGAGTCACACCTTATTTTTAACGGGAATTTAGAGTGATTCCTCCAATCAAGATTGTAAATAATTCACCAACTCCATAAAATGGATCACGTGATTTCTTTGTCTGGCATTCTGTAATATGATCAAAGTTCTGTGATTGTACTACCTTAAGTGATTGGCATGATGTATATTTTTTAAACTTTTTGGGTCATTGCGATCATTTGACACAAATGCCCAAATTTACAGGAAGAAGACTATTGGTGGAAGGAAAAAGCCTGTTGAATAGGCTCAGCGACAGGAGCCTGTTCAGCCCTGATTGGCAGTGCTCTGTTTTATTTTATTAAAAAAAAAAAAAAAAGTTTAACCCCAATTTTGAGGATCCCACCGTCCCGTCTTTAAAGCTTTGTGAGGAAGGTAAATTGAGGGATATGCCCTAGCAGGCCAGAGAACAAGAGCTGTATGTACATTACGCTTACAAGGAGTCCAATTCTATATCTCAAGAATCGAACCCCCCACACTGCGACTTTGTTTTATTTTATTTAACTTCTAATGAGAAGTCGTCAAGTGCCTGTCTATTTAAAAATTTATCATTGAGTCTGTTTCTGAAGCAAGACCGAGGAAGAAATAGTGGAAGAGAATATGAGATTATTCAAAGGCTGAGAATTCCACCATTGACAAAAGAAATATTATAAATCCTATGAATCTTTTAAAAGTGACAACTTTTGGAATTTTATTGGTATATTTTGTTTAATAGTAAAAAGAAAGTGGCTTTTGGAATTTTTTTTTCAGTTACTTTTCTCAACCACTCTCTTCCTCCATTGGTTATCACGTCATTCTTTTTTTTTATTAGATTTAAAGAAGCGTTTGTTCATGTAAAGTTGTAAACGACGCGATTTCAATACGTAGAACATGTCGAAAGAGAAAGAATACAACAAAACTTAGTCTATTGTAATTACTACGGTTATAGTTGCTATGAATTATCGACTATATCGAATAAGGCATAAAACATAGTGGTAAAGAAATATTCATATAATCAATCTTAAATTTAATCAGAACAAGAATTCATATGTTATATTAGTTTTTGGAGTAATCTCATTGATTCGGATCTCTTACAAGTTAATGATCGTAAAAAAGTATGATCCTACCTTTTTTGAAAAATAATCTTCTAGAATTGCCTGTTCAGTATTGATTTTAAGAATCGATTTTTTGATCGTTAGGAGAAAAGTAAGGACTATTTGTAAGTAAAGAAGTCAAAAAAATACGGTCGGAATAGTAAAAAAAGGTCAAAAAATCAACTTTTTGGAGTGAAAAATCGCTCCAAACGGGCTCTAAAAGCACAAGTTGTGAGCAAGTATTTAGGAGCCATTTTGGACTGCAATATGCACCATTGGGAAAGTAGTCTTCAAATTGAATTAGTGTACAGAAATAGGAAGAAAATTCTTGCTAATACAAGAAACCAGAAACTTCTGGTAAATTTTGTGGATTCATATGAAAAAAAGTCAAATTCACAAAACCATCATACATTATTCCATTTCCTAATTATATTACTAAATAAAAAGAATTTCCTCTCTCAAATATTTTTTGTTTCCGACTCTTCTGCATTTTGGGCAGGCTCTTTCTCTTTCTCTTTATCTTTTTCTTCTTTATCTTTTTCTTCAAGAGATTCTACATAGGATTCCACCTTTTCCTCCTTTTCCTGAATCTGCATTTACATATACATATCAATAGTTAGCATCCTTAAACAACCGCAAACAAAAATGCAATTCTTAAATATTTAATTAACATCGACTATTCTAAGATAACTCTTTTTTTTTTTATATAATTCTGTATTCATTGTGAAAAATTAGCATATGTGGATTTTTTTTAAAATCAAACACAGATATTATTTTCTATAGACGAAACATTTATTCTACATGTTTGGCCAAGTTTAAAATTGAGCCAAACTTATATTAGGACCGTGCTATACACTCCCCTCCTAAGAGGGGGGGACCGCGCATTTTTTTATTGGGCACAGGTCCCCTCTTGTAAGGGACGTGTAAATTCCTGTGTACAAATACAAATTTCCTTATTTTTCTGTGTTTTCCTTTCTTTGTACAGAGTTCAGTGTGGTTATTCATGAGTGGAAAAAAGCTTGGCAATTTCTTTTAGAAAAATTCTTTTTGTCAAATAACTCTTTTAGAAAATTATGCAGACATGTTCAAAAATAGGTTTTTTAGTCTTATAAATATGTTTTATTTTTCAAAAACTTTTGTCAAACTGGCTCTAATTCTTTGTAAAGTATTGCAAGATTAAAAGTAACTAAGGCCTCGTTTGGGAGGGATTTTGAGAATTGATTTTTTGACCGTTAGAAGAAAAGTAGGGCCCACTCGTAAAAGAGAAAGTCAAAAATTATGGTTGAAATAGTGAAATAACGGTCAAAAAAATCAATTTTTTGAGGTAAAAAATCCCTCCAAACAGGCTGTAAGTTAATTAACTCAAACCTCATCAATAAAATCATCTACTAAGCCAGCATCCTTAGCAGCTCTCTCAGCCACTTTTTCGACAAAATCCACAGCCCTTCTTAATTGTCCGCCCGCCGGAAGATCATCTGCTATGTCCTCCGCCACTTTCTCCACCTTCTCCGCCATCTTTTCGACACCCTCCGCCACATCTTCTGCCTTATTCAATACCGTTTCAATTTTATCTGCACATTTGAGATTGTGAGGATTCGATTCATAAGATGTCACGAAATTTTGCTTCGATCATTATCATGATACTGCAATAATCTTCATTGAAGATTAAATATAAATAAATAAAGTACATTTCTTTAAACTGCTTAAACTTTTAGATAACGAGCATGATTTGAAATTAAAATAAGTACTTATTTTTGAAAAAAAAACATTAATAAAAGCTCTTCATAGTGTCTCAAAACTGAAGAAAACAATGAATCTAGGCATGTTGCAGATGAAGTACAAGTATATAAATTTCTTCCACTCTAAAAAGTTAATTTTTTTTTTATTTAAAGACTAATTTTGATGATAATACTTCCAAGAAACATGAATTCAGTAAATACTGCAAAGAAATTCTTAGATCCATACTTTTTATGGGTCCCCATTTTTGGCCGATGAATGGTATCAGTACTGCTATCACTATCCCCAAGATCCAATTTCTGCATAGATCCATTTCCAGAATTAGATAGAGCAATATATTTAAAAGAAAACGATTTTATTTATTTGAATCCCTTTTTTTTTCCTTTCCAGTTTGGAGTTTTGATACATAAAACGAGATCACCATCTTACAAAGGATTAGAAGGAGGGCCAGAAGGTGTTGGAGGTCCTGGTTCAACACTGCTGCGAACAATCCAGTTCCTAAAACAAATCATTTCAGATCATATTCATGCAAGTAAAACCCATCTAAGAAATATATTTTTGAACAACATCAAAAGAAAAAGCAAGAACAACATCAAAAGAAAATCCCAGTAGCCGAATTTTGAAATACCTTTTAATTTTGTCATTGCTTGCCACTAGATTTGTGATGTTGAGACATTGGACACTTGGCTTACACTTCTTGTGGCTTTTGAAGGCCAAATTTGCAGAAGAATTTGGTTTGGAGAGAGGTCTAAAGTCATGATGTGGATTGTTAATATGGAGGCTAGTACTAGAGTTGAATTCACTGATAGATTTTCTCATCAACATAACTAAGGCTATAATAATATTCTTATGTATCAAAGAAATGAAGCGATTTGTGATAGATCGATCGACGCCCCCAAGAACGCTCGATTGGACTCCGGAGGATTAGTCTAGAAATACAACTTAGTAAGACTATGAAGTTTTTCTAAGGAGATGAATGTTGAGACTTTATCATCTACTACTCCATTATACAAAGGTCCATGTTTATAGGAAGGACAAAGGAGGCTATTGGAGGTAATAGTTTAAAGATAATTCAAGAATATTCAAAGGTTTAAAATTCCACCTTTGATATAGTAGCCTGTTTAGTAGTGATTATGAGAATCAATTTTTTGACTGTTAGAGAGAAAAATGGGGCTAACTCGTGAGTGAAAAAATAAAAAATGATGGCTGACTTTGTTAAGTAATGATCAAAAAATGATTTTTTGGATATTTGAACCAAACTGGGCATAATAGATTCTTTATATCTTTTTAAAATTCCACCTTTGATAGTAGCTTGTTCAGTAATGATTATGAGAATCAATTTTTTGATCGTTAGAGAGAAAAGTGGGTGACATCCGTGAGTGAAGAAGTAAAAAATGATGGCTGACAATGTTAAGTAATAATCAAAAAATTGATTTTTCGGCTTAAATAATTAGAACCAAACGGGCATAATAGATTCTTTATATCTATTAAACATGACAGTGATGTTTGGAATTATATTGGTAGATTATTGTTTTCTAATTAGAAAAAGGAAAACGTTGCTACCATTCAATTTCTTCATTGATTGCCGTGTTGTTCTCTTTAATCAGTCCATGTTTGGTTCCATTTATAATTTTAAAATTTTTTTTAATGGAATTTACAACTTTTATAAATATTTTGTAAAATTCATCAACTTTTATCAAAATTTCTAAAAATCTTATTTTTAACAAATCGAAAAGGGCTTAAATCTAAAAGGACTCATATTCAAAAAAGCTATGCAATTTTAATTTGAATGTTCAACATGTGAAGTATGTTATTGTAAAAGTTGAACCCCAATTTCGAGGGGTCCCATCGCCTCGTCTCTAGAGCTTTGTGAGAGAGGTAAATCGCGGGATATGTCCCAACAGGTCAGAGAATAAAAGCTGTCTATACACTGCACCTACAAAGAATCCAATTTCATATCTCAGGAATCGAACCCTCACACTGCGGCTGCCAGCAAGGTGTGAGATAACTTCACTCTTTTCATTTGCACCACTAAACTATGTCCCGAGGGGCCTGTGAAGTATGTTATTGTAGTTTGCGCACATATTGGATTATGAATGTATTTTCCCATACATAATGAATATTATGGCAAATTTTATTCTTATTAGAAAGAAAAAGAGAGACATGATTTATAATATAATCATTCACTTTTTCATTATAGTAAATGAGCCAAGTCTTCTTCATTTTTATTTTTTATTTTTAATTTCATGTTATTATTGCTCTAAATAATACACTATTAGGCATTTCTATAGTGGTCGCGAAAGATATAGTCAATTACTTTTTCTATTGGTGATTTTTTCTAAATCAATCCCCATCAAATCCCACATTGGAGCTTTTATAATGGGTTGAAATTTTAAATGAAAAAGTTAAATAAAAATGATGTAAAATACTATTTAACCTATAGGTTAACTAAAAATTAAATACGAGGGAAGTCGTAGAAGTACTGACTTATCAATTTAAAACTTGCTTGAGTCCTATCTTGAGTTAAAATTGAGTTTTAACAGTGATTTTTCGAAGAATATGTAATCAAAAAGTAGCTAAAACTTCTAGTTTTACATACAAATTATTTTATTGAGAGAATGCGTGATTGAAAATAAATTTAAATAAAATTTTTTATTATCTTTTATAATAGTAGTTGCTATAACGAGGAACAAGCATGCTAGATGTACAACATTTTTTTACTGCCCTCTTACATTACACGAGTTAGTTCCACGATTAAAGTATTCGTGGGACTCACTCGTGTGAGTGGATTGTCAAAATGAGTGTACAACATCTGGATGTTTCAACGAGGAAAGGTCTAAGCAGTGTGTGTGTATTATGATGAGGGAACCTACAGTCTCTATCTTTTGGGTGCGTTGTAAGTAGTAATTATATTAGTTGTACGTTGCATTGCCTACTACAATAAAACTATATTCAATATCTAATAATGAACCATTATTCACCTGTGCCTTCATTGTCCAAAGGTACAACCATAAATGCTTTGTTTTAGTCCCCAGGGCACATCTCCAAGCGGTAAAAGGGGAGGGTGGAGAAATCCAGCTTTGTTTGAGGCTGCTGCGTCAAAGGTTCGAATCCTGAAATATGGATTTGGCTCTTGGATAAGTGCAAGTGTACAAGCAGCCTTCCACCCTGTACCCTTGGAGGCATAATCTGCGATTTACCTCTCTCACGATACTCCAGGACAAGGGTGATGGGGGACCCTTAAGGTTAGGGTTTAACCTTTTTTATAAATGCTTTGTCTTATTTTTGCAGGATGTGAGGGTATTTTCGGGTTTCCACTCAAGATGATATAGGGACGAACTCTGCTAATTAATTGAAAGGCTGGATATGAACGATTCAAATAAACATGGTAGGGTCATATCTCAACCACTTTTAAAGGGTAGAATATTTTTTGTCATTTTTTCCTCGTGCAATGGAAGTAGGTTTTTCATAATTGATTCTTGCATTCCCTCTTGTGATTTAACTTTTGGATATCGTGTCTACGTTAAAGTATCTTCAAAAGACTCTTTAATTTTAAAGAAATATTCTATAATTTGGAGAGTAAAAATTTTGAAGTGCTTCGACGGGGGGCGAAGCCAAAAAATTTGTTCAGTGCTGACATAATTTAATTCATGTCGAACATTGTGTTTTAATCATGAATTTAATGATAATAAAACTATAAAACAAAATCATGAGTTTGGGCCTAAAAATAAAACTCATGTAAATTAAAACATGATTTTATCCCACCTCCCCTGTTGCTTTAATTAAAATAAAAATAAAAATGTTTGGGCCTAAAATTTCAGTGCGGGCTCAACGTGGCTCCGCCACTGGCTTTGACGATCTCTCTATATTTAATACTTAATTTTATTAATCCCAAAAGATATTTATTATTTTTCTCATATTTTATTTTAACTAGCTTCTCTCCAGATTATTTTATTTTTTTCTACATTGAAAATTGAAATACTTTGAATGCATTTAATTGTAGAGAGTGTGCTCGACTCTTCAAATTTGGAGATAAACTCATTCTCTAAATTAAAATGTTAATTTAAAAAGTCTCTTGAAACATGATTTTAATGATTCACTCTTTAAAATAGTGAACATTTCATATTTAAAAATTCTATTGAAAATACTCTTAGTAATCAAATGAATGTAGAAGGAAGGAGTTTTGGAAAAACTCCGTCGGCCCCCTCCCGAAGAGCACGAAAAATCTTGAAATTGAAAACATTTGTGGACTGTTTTATTTATTCAAACAAATTATGGAGGGATAATCGAGTATATGTTAAACGGTTGAACTATTTTTTGTCAGTTCCTCAAACTATGATCTCGTTACATTTTACTCCCTTTAGTTTTCAATTGTGCCATTTGCCCTATGAATTGTTGAGGGAAAATTATATATCAACCACAATTTTTGTTAACTACAACATATTTTAATTGCAATGAAAATTCCAAAAATTGCTTATTCTGCTTTTTTGTCCTTATCTTTTTCCATTACACTCTTATCCTTTTTCTTTTAGTTAATTAACTTATCTTATATTTGATGCCGGTTTTGATTCAAATATTTTGTAAGTGTGCTTTGAAATAATGGAAAATATTTTATAGAGTTTTGCTATTTGTTATTTATTTTTCTGATTTAAAAATTCAAAGGAAAATACGCCTTCATAACAAATATTTTGAATCGCAAACGTAATCAGATACAAGAGTTGATAATCAATAGAAAGTTGGATGTAACTTAGAATAACTTATACGTAAATCCATTTTTTTCTACTTTTCAATAACACAATCTTTAAAAAATTACTATTACGAACTTTTTTTTCTTGAAAAATGAACTTCAATTTGGGCAAAACTTTGCTTTTAACATTTTTTTGATGATGGGGGAATTCGCAGTCGCTATTTTTCGGGTACACATTGAGTAAATTCTCGAACTGACGTAATAACCTGCAAACCACGTTAGCCAAATAAATCGCAATAGGTAAAACTATACTTTTAACATTATTTGGGCAATTGATTTTTAAAAGATTGAAATGTGCTCATGTGAATATCATTTATCATTTTCAAATGGACCCAACTCTAACAATGGACGAAGCACTCCCATGTGTACGCTGCTCTAGGCCACACACATCTAAAACCGTGATCCAATTATAACCCAACACCAAAGTGTATTCCACGTGGAAGAATAGTAAACCAACTACTACGTATTAAATTATAACGTGCATTAAATGTTTCGATTAAATTATTCATGTTTCATTTTCATATCAAGGAGCTAATCCCTCTTCTTAGATAACATTATTATTGACAAATACTTCATTAAAAAAAAAAATTAAAAATTGGTGTTGACACGTATATAATTTTTCTTAGTGCTTGTTTGAGAGAAATTTTGAGGAAGATAAAAATGAATTTTTCGACCGTTGATGGCCGTTTTTCCCAAATTTTTTGAGCCCTGCTCCCTATGTCAACTGGCGCCGCTGTCTTCAACTCTGTCCCCAAGCTGAGACGGGCTTTATTCCAATTTTTTTGACTTGCTTCTCACAGTGGGACCCATTTGCTGTCTTGCCAACTGTCAAAAAATGGCTTTTAATCCAAAGAAATTATTGTCAGACAGGGGCACAAATATGTTTAGGGCTTTATTTTAACACTACTGTACATGACTACTTTTACTTATTTTATTAGTGTCCACCAAAATCTCTGTCCTTGCCAGCTAATTTATGTCCGGTTCAATCAATAGTATGCTCATGTTTGAGTCACATTTTAAAAAAGGAAAATGTATTATTTATGTCAAATCAATAAAAAATATGTGGTTAAAAATAAATTTTTTTTTAGATTCATGTATAATATTATTTTATTGAAGAATGTGCAGTTGAAATGGTGTCAAATCACTGTTGAAAAATATATTTTTTTGTAAAAATAATGTGACTCAAACAAGCCCTATACGTCCCAGTTTTGCAATTGAAATAGATTCAATGACATATTTTTTAACAGATAAACACTTGACAAATTCTCATTGGAAGTTAAAGGTATAAAACGGAAAAAACTGCCAATC